TTTTTTTTTTTTTTTTTTTTTTTGGGGGGGGGGGGAAGTCTGGTCCCTTTAGGAGCAAAACAATACCTTCCATGAAGAAAAGTAATTTACTGTGTAGTTTGTGTTGTTTGTAGATTCTTCAGGAGAGCAACAAAAAGCCTTACTCTTCTGGTCCATGTTGTTTAAAAGAAGAGATGTCACTAAGCCTGGCCTTCCCAGTTCTCCAAGCAAAGAAAGAATGTAGATCACCTAGATCAGCATGACCAGGTGGCCATGATTTGGGAGTCACTGCTCACCCACTTTTTTCACAGGTAGGGACAAAGTGAATACTGTAGGTTTAAAGGTAACTGTCCTCATACCGTGTGCCTTTGTGAAGATAGATGCATGCACTGATGTCAACAAACAGCATGATGACTACAGAGTATCTGGTCCCACAAAGTCCAACAGGCTTAGTATTCAGACTACAGACCAAGGTGATACTGTCCTATGGCTGTTGGACAGATATCACCACCCACTCAGTTGTCTACTCCTGGAACCTCAGGTTTATTTTTGACACTGATTTCTCTTTCAACCCCTTCTATCCACCCAATCACTAGGTCTTGTTGATTTTTGAATTAGCCCACAATCCTCCATCCCCACTGCCAAGCCCCAATTCAGATCAGGATCAGCCCTGGACTCGATTACTGCAGCAGCCTCCTATCGGATCTCCTTGCTAGCTGTCTAGTTCTCCAATTCTTCTCCATAAAAAAAGCAGGACTTTCGAAAATAACAATTGAATTGTGTCTTCCTCCCATTTAAAATGTTTCTGTGTCTGGCCACTGGTTTAGAATAAGGTCCAGGCTGTTAAATTGGCTTACAATGCTCTATATATGTCCTGGCCCCTGCTTAATTTTTCAGTCTCATCTCTTAACCACTCTCCTTCCAACTACATTTCAGCCAAACTCAACTACTGTTTCTCTATTACGCTTTTACATATGTTGTTCTTTCTGCCTCTTTGCTCCTCTGGACCCAGGTAAGGTGTATCC